GGTAGATATTGAGTCGGATTTAAATGATTTATTTATCGTAAGAAGCAACTGAGTGTGGTAATTGACCGGATTTAGGCGTTATCAATCTTAGGCAAAATAATTATACAAGTTAGCATTTAACGGATTAGTTATTTGTTGCTTGTGTTGTCGGGCTCTACTTCTTAATGTTATTGCTAGGATAATTTTGCACGATGTTGGGAATTGCCTAGTAATAAGGGTTGTGTAGGAGGATTTATTTTGCATGGCCAATTTAGGAGTCAGAATTCATCTTTCAACGGCATCTACGTATTTATGAATTGATAATATTTGCATCAAGGATCAGTAAAATAATTCGGGGTGGAAATCAATTCAGCCGGAGCACTTTACCTATATATTCATCTTCATCTTGATGTTATATTTGAGTCTTTTATATAATAATCTTTTACCAATACCTTCTTCATTTTCTTGTTAATTAGATAATTAGGATTATAAATCAATTCTCCCCCATTTTAATCACATAATTACAGTCATTTAATTAAATTATTTCCCGTGGATACGATCCTTGCTCACACTACTACATATTTTTAAGCAATGTTAATTTGGGTGCCTACGACAGCATGACCAGGTATGAAATTAACTATGTATATCTCTTAAAATTGTTAAATGAAACGACTTATTGGTGAGATCTATTCAATTAGGCTCGCTAATACTTGAGTTTGGCTTTATTTGTTTCATAAACAAACCGAGTTTGAGTCCGTTTAGTTGACTTGAAGGCTAGTCAGATTCGAGAAATGAAGGTTATTATGTAATTTCAATAATTATTACTCATTTTGATTCGATAGTTAAGACTCGAATTTGGCTTATTAACATCAATAATAGACATGGGCTCGCTCGAACTTATTTATCGGTTCATCTAACTAAAAATATTGAGCTCGAGTATTAGAAATTTGAGCCCGACGACTCGACTCATTTAAAGCTCTAATACTTATTGAAAAATATGATTGTGTAATCATTAAGTCGGTTTAATAACAATCTTAGGCCTTGTTTACCTAAGCTGAAGGATAGGATATGGTTGCATAACTCCTGTTATCCAGTGTTTACTAACCATGACGGGATTGAATAATAAGTTGATGTGTCTTGTAGGTCTCACACTTTTATACACGATTAAAAAGATTATTTTGTCCGTCTTGAGGGTGGGACATTTTAACCCCACCTTAAAAATGACCATTTTGTCCAAAAATTAGCATGTGAAATGCCTCTTTTACCCTAAGAAGCCCACCAAATTACAGATTTAGGCCATATAAATATATTTTGCTACCACCTCATCTTTTATTTTTTATCTTGTCATTTTGTCCAAATTAGTAAATTTTTTATTGTTTTTGCCTTAAAATGCAGTATGTTTTGTAACCAATGGACACATGCTGACGTGTAAAGTTGATGAGAAGAAACTGTTAAATTCCATCATTTAAAGTAATCGAGGCCTTATTGTTTTAGGGTGTATATATATATATGTTTTACTTATGATAAGTATTTTGTTTTGGTACAATTGTTAGTTCTTGGAAATTAACTTAACTACTAGTACAACACCCGTGTATTACACGGGTGCTTGCTAATTTTTTTCTTAAAATTTAACATTAATGAGAAAAAGTAATTGAAATTTTAAATACCTTTTACAAAAATATATATATTATTATATATTTAGTATGACACTTTTTATTTGTGTGACTTACATGTGTCATATTATAATAATTTTTTAACTTCCAACATATAAATACATTAAAAATAAATATATCAAGTGATAAATAATTTTATTTTTCTAATGAATTTTAATAAATATTATTATTCTTTATTATTATAAAGATAAATATAATTTATTATTTCAT